GCTTCCCTGACGGTACTCCGAAGGTGCACTTTTCAGGGTTTAATTTCATCCTGAAAGCGCGGATGCTCGCGAAGGTTTCTTCTAGATCCAAAATCAAATCATCCTTTTGCTTGGTCTTAACGACTACATCATCCACATAGGCCTCAACGTTGCGACCGATCTGTGTTGAGAAGCATCTCTGAATCATACGTTGATAAGTTGCTCCTGCGTTTTTTAGTCCGAACGGCATGGTGACATAGCAGTATGCTCCAAAGGGTGTGATAAATGAAGTCTTCAAGCAGTCGGATTCCTTTAGTCGGATCTGATGATACCCCGAGTAGCAATCCAAAAAACTGAGAAGCTCACAGCCGGCGGTCGAGTCGACTACCTGGTCAATGCGAGGCAACCCAAAAGGATCTTTAGGGCAGGATTTGTTGAGGTCAGTATAATCAACACACATGCGCCATTGCCCTGTTTTCTTTCGAACTAGAACCGGGTTTGCCAGCCAGTCGGGATGAAGGACTTCTTTGATGAAGCCTGCTGCTAACAGCTTGGTTAATTCCTCTTTGATCGCGTCCTTCCTGTCTTGTGCAAATCGGCGGAGTCGTTGTTTGATAGGCTTGGCATCTTCTTTGACATATAAGGAGTGCTCAATCACCTCTCTAGGAATACCGGGCATATCAGATGGTTTCCACGCAAAGATATCTTTATTGTTCTGAAGAAAGGTGATGAGCGCGCTTTCCTATTTACAATCTAACTCGGCGCCTATTACAGCAGTTTTAGTAGGATCAGAAGGATCTAGGGGAATCTTCTTAGTCTTGGCTTCGCTTTCTCCACTTTTTGAAGTCTTGGTGGCGGGCACTTCTCCTTCGCTCGCCGTGGCTGCAGCCAGTCGGATATCCTCTCGGACAGACGCCATCTCGCGGGTTTGGGCCATGTCGCAACTCTCCTTGTCGCATGTGACGGCTTGCTTGATGTCGCTCCGTAGGGATAGGACTCCTCGGGGACCGGGCATCTTCATCATCATGTAAGTGTAGTGCGGGACGGCCATGAACTTGGCTAACGCCGGGCGTCCGAGTATGGCATGATATGCTGTCTCAAAATCGGCGACTTCAAAGCTGATATTCTCTGTGCGGAAGTTTTCCCGAGTGCCAAAGGTGACCGGGAGGGTGATCTGGCCGAGTGGAGTTGCGGATAATCCTGGAATTACTCCGTGAAAAGGCGCATTGCTTGGTTTTAGCTCGGAGCGAGGGATCTGCATGTCATCCAAGGTCTTGGCGAAGAGGATATTGAGTGCACTGCCACCGTCGATGAGGGTTCTGCGAAGCTTGACATTACGGACCACTGGGTCTAGTACCAGGGGGTACCGCCCCGGGTGGACCACTCGGTCAGGATGATCCGAGCGGTCAAACTTGATTGCGATTTCTGACCATCGAAGATACTGGGGCGTGTCGGGTTGAACAGCATTGATCTCCCGTTCAGTCAACTTTTGCTTCCGTTTAGACTCATAAGCCAAGGGGCCGCCGAAGATATGGTTGAGCTCCTTGCGGTGGTCTTGAAATCCTGCCGGGGCGTCGCCGTCGTCCTTCTTCCTCGACGTGCTTTGTTCTTCGTCGGAGTTCTTCCGTGTAGTCTTGGTGTATTGATCCGCGAATTGCTTGTAGACGAAACAATCTTTGGCCACGTGGTTGGAGTTAGGATGGTGCGGGCATTGGGAGTTCATGATCTTGTCGAACGTGTTGACGCGCGAACGCTGTCGAGAAGAGTGACTGGCGGTTGCAACAAGTTCCGCAGGCTTACGCTTGCGGTCCTTATGATTGTTACTTCCACCTCCTCCCGTAGCCGGCGTACCCTTATTTGGCTTCCAACTAGGACCCGACTGCTTTGATGCGGTGACGGCGTCTTCAGCTTTGGCGTACTCGTTGGCTTTTTCAAATATAAGCTTGACTGTCCTGGGAGGTTTACGCCCGAACTTGCCGACCAATTCTTCGTGGCGAATCCCTTTGGTGAAAGCGGCGATGATAACGTCGTCGGTGATGTCGGAGATCTTATTACGTTGTTCAGAAAATCGCCGGATGTAATCTCTAAGGGATTCTCCGGACTTCTGAATAACGTTGTAGAGGTCGTATTGTGTGCCGGGACGCTCGAAGGTGCCTTGGAAGTTGGCGATGAAGTGGTCGCGTAATTCGGCCCAAGATCCGATTGTACCACGGGGCAATCCATGGAGCCAAGATCGGGCGGAATCCGCTAAAGCCACTGGTAGATAGTTCGCCATGGCCTTGCTGTCTCCTCCTGCTGCGCGGATTGCGAGACCGTAGACGGTAAGCCACAATTCTGGGTTAGTGGTACCGTCGTACTTCTCTATTCTAGTCGGCTTGAAGCCGGCTGGCCAATCCACTCGACGCAGATCGTCGGTGAAGGCTGCTACTCCGTCAAGGTCGTCGTCGTGGCGGTCCGGCAAATGATGATGGCCTCGAGCTGCTCGGCGCTGTATGATCGTGTCGCGAAGATCGACGGGGCGGCGACGAGGTGGTGAGCGAGGCCGTTCCACTCGGCGCTCCCCATGATGGTCGGGAGGTGAGTGAACGGACCGCCCGTCGTGACCCCTGCTCTTGCGATTGGATCCTGCGCCAGTGATGCTGAGGCTTGGATGACGGTAGTCATGAGATCTGAAGTGGGGAACTCGGCTGCCAGTCAGCGTGTGGACGCTTTCGGAGTTAACTGGGACCGAAGCCGCAATCATGGTCTTCGTCTGGTTCAAGATGTTGACGACGTGATCAGATTGATTGAGCTCGTTTTCCTTGAGGAGGGTGTCGAGGAGGGTGATCGCGGCAACCGCATTCTGCTGAGGGGTGCGGAAAACCGGTGTCCCTTCAACATCTTGTTGGCCGATGAGATCACGCGCTCGGCGCCCTGCTTCCAAAGCTCGCTGTCGTCGATCTTCAGCCTCCTTCGCGGTCCGCTCACGCTCCTGCTGCTCACGCCGTAACCGTTCTTGTTCTTGTGCTTGACGCTCCTCCTCCAGTCGGAGACGCTCAGCCTCGCGACGTGCTTCGGTCTCCCGGGCTTGGCGTTGCTCCTCCGTCTCGTTATCGGCCATGAAGACGCCGAAGTAGAGAGGGGTGTAGTTGTCATCTAGGCTTTCGTCGAAGTCGTCGAGATCCGGTTCGTTGTAGCGAGAGCTAAACTCGTCGTACTCCACGATGTCGGTGGGGCGCGAGTCGACGGTGGGAGAGCTGTAGTAGCCGTCCAACTGATCCGTCGAAACCGTGCCGAGTGGTTGGAGGATGACGCCGACTTCCCTGAAGCTAGGCGAAATCGGTGTTGAAGCCGACTTCCGCCTAGGCCTACGGGATGAAGACGCTGTCGTGATGGAGGCGGCCGCCGAATCGTCGGGGAGCTTCATTAGGATCGGTGGGTAAGCCCCATCATCTTGATCTGGTGTCGTTGGAGAAGATGCGATCTCGCCCGAGTGGTTTGAAGCCAACTCGATTGAGATGGTCTTGAAGTAACTTTCAGCCGCGTTTAGGAGTCCAAACGGGACTGAAAGCCGGTTCTCTCCCGACTGGGCCGACACCGAGTCAAGGAGAGAGATCTTGCCGAAGTTGTTGGTGACGAAGTCGAGGCTGCCGAACCGAAACGTCTGCCCGGGTGGGAAGACGAGGTCGTCGATCCCGGAGACGGAACCCATTGCACTGATCGGCGAAAAGCTTGACGCTACCCCTACCTGGCGCGCCAACTGTCGAAACTAGATTTCGGCAATAATAAAAGGGGGTGGCTATCAAGCTGGAAAAGTGTATGGGTTTGGAGACAAAGGATTTATACAGGTTCAGGCCCTCTTATTCAAGAAGTAATACCCTACTCCTGTCCGGGGATGAATCCGCCGAGTGTATTATTGATTGTATGATTTGGAGAAAATCAACTTCTCCCCTTAGAGGCACCCGGACCCCCCTTATATATGGGAAGGAGTCCGTGTTACAAAAGATAATCTATATCCCTAACGGAATATGCAGATACAGGTAAAATACAGTCGTAACCGACTAAGTCTCAAGGTGTTTCCTTGATGTACAAGTTAAGAAACGAACCCGAGATACAAATAAGATATTCTATATATATTCGGTATCCTATATCCAGTCCAAATATCATCGCCGTGTAGATATGGGATATCCATAATCTCTACAGTTTGTTTTCAAAGTTGTGTACAACACTTCTTCACACCATTTAAATGGGAAACTATTTTGATCCTACAAAGGGATCTCTCGTTATTTGCATATCACTTAAATAGTTATGAAAAAATTTAAGAAGATGTATTAACACGTGGTATAGCACTTCACAAATAAACAAATTCAAATTTAACTTCTACATCTCGTAACAAAAAACCAAATTAAACCGCAGTTAAATAACGTATATTTACAATCATGATTTTTTTTTCGTTGCGAGATATAGAAGTTGAATTTGAACTTGCATATTTGTGGAATGATATATCGCATGTTAATACATCTTTTTATTTTTTTAAAAAAATTTTATAACTATTTAAGTAACATGCAAAAAAACGAGAAGATATTCTATAGAGGGATCAAAATTAATCCACTTCCCCTTTTAAATAGTAGATATCATTGACATTCTACATATATTCGAACATTCATCTTATTATAAAATTTATTACAATATTTAAAAATTAATGTTATACTACTTTGATGATAAAAAAACCTTACAACATATTTACACGATTATTTTGAATAAAGCGAATGATTAAACGAATGCTTAAAAGTCAATGTCGTTATATATTTTACAAACAGATGAAGAATAATCTATGCATAATGCATGTATAAGTACGAGAGTACTCTATTAGGCTGACATGCATGTGTATAAGTACGAGAGTACTCTATTTCGTTATGTAAGTTAGTCCTAAGTTAAACTTATGTCAGTACACTTGTATCGTGATAAATTTCAAGTCAAATTTAATTAAACTAATTTAGTGGTGGTGCAGATGCTGGTGATTTCTTAAAATATCGGCAGAGTTGGAGAAGATTTTTTTTTACTTAAAGATAAAAAAAATTAAAACAACATAATTATTACGGTGCGGGAGTACATCTTATTAACGCGCGCACGGCCGTAACGAAACATACAAAGGCCATACTGGCGAGACCGACCGACCGGGCCCAAAAGGGGCGGACGTACTAGGTCACACATACAACGGCATAATGATGTCGACCCTAGATATTCATCTCGATTATGATCGATGAGCGACATGACATGAATTAAGCAGAGGCAGCGAAGCCCTCCACGACGTCCACGAGGCGTGCTCCGCTGTTGGTCTTGAAGCAGTTGCGGCGGATCTCGCCTTTGTTCCCGCCGGGCCTCGGCACCTTGCTCAGCTTGACGATGGACGTAACGAACTGCGTGAAGAAGGCGGCCTTGTCCTGCGCGAACCGCCTGACGATGGCCGCAGTTTGGGGGTCCAGGATGAGCGCCATGTCGGAGGTGAACACCCCCTGCTTCCTGGTGAGCGCTATGTAGTAGCCGTTGTCGAAGGTGATGGGGGTGACGACGTCCAGGTCCTGCTTCGTGTTGGGGTTGGCGCTGCAGTTGGCGGCCATCTTCCGGGAGAAGGCGTCGTCCACGGGCCTCACGAAGGCGCACTTTGACTTCCCCACGGTGTGGCCGCCGGAGAGCGCCACCAGGTCGGCGGCGTCTCCCATGCCCCTGCTCCCGAACAGGTCGATGAGAGCCTGGACGCTGGAGGTGCCCGGGCCCGGGAGCTGGTTGACGAGGCGCAGCGGGGCCGGGGCGAGGCTGTCGAGCTGGCCGAGGGGAACGGGGTAGGTGGGCCCGCCGGAGAGGACGACGGCCGCGCGGGTGGCCAGCGCGGAGATGTCGGTGCAGGAGACGGTGGGCCCGCATGCGGCGTGCACCTTGGCGCGGATGTCCTCCACCAGCTGCAGCGCCCGCGGCTGCAGCGAGTTGGCGTTGGGCGGCATCCCCTGCTCCGAGTTGGCGCCACTCAAGTAAACCGACGCGTCACAGCCCTGCATTAATTCCATCATCAGTTAATCTTTTTTTTCTTCTTTTGCCATTAGTATAGTACGTACACGATCGTTTTTGCTTGAATTAAACATTCATTCAATTAGATGGTTGGTTGGTTTAGTTCATAAAAAGGTAGAGTATATATAGTAGCAAGTGCCTGCGGGAAGCAGTCGTGGAAGAAGATACGGATGAGGCCGGCGGCGAGGGCGATCTCACGCTGGAGCGCCGCCTGCACGGCTGAGCGCACGATGGAGTCCACCTGCGACTGCGAGCACGCCACCACGTCAATGAAGTCCACAGACGGCTCAGCAGCAGCCGCAGGTGGGGAGGAGAGGAGGACGGCAGCGGCGACGATGGAGGCGAGCTGCAGGACGGCCAATGCGCCCGCGGTCCTGCCCGCTGTTGCGGCCATCTTGAGCTTTAATTTGCAGTGTACGTACTCGTAGAGTCGTAGTGGCCGGCCGGAGTTGTGGACTACTCTCCTCACTCCGCTTTGCTCGTGCCTTCCTCACTCCCACAATTGGCCCTTATTTATAGGCTAGCTAGTGTACGTGTCCCATCGTCTGCAATACTTGTAGTACATCAACACCACATCCTCTGCCGTTCTGGGACGGCAGAGAGCTACAATATTTTTCACTATAGCAACGGCACGGTACTGTAGCTTCCCTCATGTTTCACTGTGCGTCTCCGCCGTTCACCCCCCAACGATAGTGCTATCTAATCTTATCGACACTGCGTGTAGCTACAGGAACCCGAATGAATCACCCCGTTCCCCGTCGATGGAGAGAATAATTAACTACTGGAGTGAGTAAGAAAAGAGCGGGCCCAAAAGTTAAGAAAAAGAAGCGGTTAAGAAATGGAAGAATAACGATAGGAGAAAGCAGGCTTATCACGTGGTGGACGAAAAAGTGCTAGAGGAGGAGTACTAGTGCTTTCTAATCTTATCAACACTGCATGGACGTTCTCCTCCGTCTCCTATTAAATTTTATTTTTAGTGTCTTACATTTGTTTTAAAATAAAATTACTTTTAAAGTAATTACGAGCATATCTTAGTTTGTAAAAATAGAGAATAGTCGAAAGTAAATAAAGTAAGAAATAGTTGTATTATAATTTGATAAGAAATAGCCTTAGGCTCTATTATTTCCTCATTTTTTCAACCCACATCTCTCGTTTTTCGCGTACACGTTTTTTAAACTGCTAAAAAATTATATTAATCTTTTTTAAAAAAATAGTTAATACTTAATTAATCATGCAATAAAACGAACTTTGTTTTACGTGTTGGGGAGGAGGGTTCCCAACCCTCTCCTCCGAACACCGCCTAAAGATATTTCAATACTTTAGATTTGTATCGGTGTGTTCAAGATATGTGAAATGTAAAGTTATTTTAGGACAAAGACAGCACGAGTATTGGCGTCTTTTTATAGAAGATGGTTGACGGTTTGCTTTATTCTAGCTCGTCCCTGTAGGAGTAGTATGTACTGTAGGTATCTAGCACAAGTGCACACCAGAGTCTGTACTACGTACAGCTAGCAGAGCAAGTGGTAGTGGTGGGCACTCCTTCACACTGCACTGGAGATTGGCAGATATATGTACCACGTACTCCTAATCACTGTTTGATGTTTGAAATGCCATGTCCCTGTCGCTAACGGGTTGTATGGATAAGCAATCCACATGTCCATATGACCAAACTCAACTTTGACAATGCCACTATACAACTTATGTGTGTGGAAATGTAACACCCTGAAAATTCGACCGACAAAACAAAAACTCTAAAAATACGGACTTTCAAAAACTTTTTAAACCAATTGCATCATGCCGACTTTATTCGCCTGTTTCATTGGATTTTGATGTCGGAGTCTATTAATCGCGAATAATGAATAACTAGCTAGGAACAAACCATAAAAGAAAATCTAGTTGACTAAATAAATAATTAAAATATAAATTAAAATAAAGGTTAGGTGGGATTGGAAACAAATAAAATATTATCGCAACCATATTAGCAATAATTAAATTTTAGTACGATGGAATAACCCTAATTAAAATAAATTATATAAACAGAATATGAGTGATATTAAATTAAGGAGGATTTTAGTTAGGATAACACAAATGTGGAATGTACTTCATTTATACAAGATTTAGAAATTATGAAATCAAATTTATTTTGAAAATAACCTAAAATCGGGAATAATAGGAAAATGCACTGTTTATTGCCCGCAAGGTGTTCGATGTGGTCCCTAGCGTTTCCCCTTCTCTCCCACCTCTCCCCTAGCCCAGCCTCCTCCTCTGCCCCGCGCGCCGCGCGCCCGGCCGCCCCGAGCCCCGTGCCGTCGCATCGCCGTCGCGTCGCCCGTCGCCACCGCGTCGCCGTCCCACCGCGCCGCGCCAACCGTTCCATCGCCGCGCGCCGTCACCGTTCGGCCGTCGCGTCGCCTCGCGCCTCGCGCCCGCGCGCCGCTCGCCCGTTCCATCACCGCGACGCGAGCCTGCCGCCTCGCGCCCCGCGCCGCTGCTGTGAGCCGTCACCGCGCGTCGACGTCGCCGCGCGACCGTCCCATCGCCGCGCGCGTCCCATCGTCGCTCCGAGCCGCGCGCCGCCGCTGCCGAGCCGTTCCCATCGCTGTCCCCTCGCCTCTGCCGCGCCGCACCAATGTCGCCGTCGCCACCGCCGCGGGTCGCCGTCGTCTCGCGCCTCGTGCCGCCCGCCGTCGTGTCGCCGCAACCGTCGCGTCGCCTCGCGCCGCGCGCCCCCACCTCGCGCCCCGCGTCGCCGTCGCGTCTCCCTTTCCCCCTTGTCCCCCCCCTTAGCTCTTCCCCTCCCCTATATAAGCCTCACTATTTCCCCCTCCTCCCCTCCATCTCCACCCCTCTCCTCTACCCACACTACCGCGCCGCCGCCTCCACGCCGCCGCGCCACCGCACCGCCGTTATCGCACCGCCGCCATCGCGCCGCCGCGCCGCCGCCCTCGTGCTGTCGTGCCGCCGCGTTCGTGCCCCCGTGCCGCCGTCCCAGTGTGCCGCACCGTGCGCCGTCGTCGCCGCCGCCGCCGTCGCCGTCGCCGCCGTCGGTGAGCCGCTGCCCCCCCCCCCCCCCCCCTCTTTCTTTTGTCGCCGAGCCGAGAGAGAAAGAGAGAGGCCGAGGGAGGAAAAGGAGAGGAAGGAAGGAGGAAGCCGGGAGGGAGAAAAGAAAGGAAAAAGAGAAAAGAAAGAAAAGAAAGAAAAGAAAAGAAAAGAGGAAAAAGAAAAGGGAAAAATTTAGGGGGAAATTTAAAATATTTGCAAATATTAGAATTTAAATATAGGATTAATGAAAATATAATTGGATGAATTCCTATAGATTATAGATAATTTTTAGTACTCTCCATAAGAAATCAATTCGCGGTATTAATTTAGATGTAATTAATAATTAAACAAATGTATGAATTCTCGTAAATTATTGTGGATTATTTCTAGGAAATCTCTATAAATAATCGATCAACGGTAGCGATTCGGATTTAATTACTAGGGTGTTAGCCGTGTATTATATTTAATCATAGACTAAATTAAGTCGTATAATATTATAAGACAATTTTAGGATTCCGTCCGACATTTAGCTCGCGATAAGAAATTTCTAACCTAATATATGGATATAATGCTAGGGTAGATTAAATTAAAAACATACGACAACAAAATATTGTAACCGCAAAATAATTTAAACCAAAATTGGGGTTTGCCATAGTTCGCGGATAGTAAAATTAATAAAAAGGAATTGACTTTTGCGTTCGACTTCCATTCGGATTTACTTGGATTTTTATTTGAATTCTAACTGAATTCAAATCAATTTTCGCACGTAACTATAGAGACCGAGGGAGCCGCGGATCCAGGTGAAGGCTAAGACCCGCAAGACCTCGAGCAAGGCAAGTCATCACTATTCCTTGAACATGTTGATCCCAATTGCGAAATTGTTTTGTTTATAAATAAAATTGCATGCAATTATGAACCTCCTACTTGTGATTATGCCATGCCTTGATTATTGTTCACCTTTAAATCTTTGTAACCATAGATACGTACGAGTTCCTAGTCAACTATGACACTTGCTTAGAAATGCTATTTTAGATTCATGCATACTCATATTTATCAAATGCTATATGCTTGGGCAATTACCTTTGGGAAGGTAATTGAGATGCGGCATGTGGAGACATGAGCGCCACATTGCCATGATATTGATGACATAATTTGTGAAAGGAAAATAAAGTAAAACAACTGTTTTCGACTGGGGCGGCTGGAGGACTTGGGTGGTGTCCGGAAAAGGCTAGTGCCGTCCCTGGTCAATTAAGGACCGAGCCATGAAGTTAAGCATGAAACGACCCCCGTACAACCGCACTTCTCGTATGGGTATAGACCTAGCGGAGTAGATAGCTGAGCGGAGGCAGTATCCATGCATAGTGGTTTCTTGATGTGTGAGGCAGGGGCTCTACGGTGGGGCAGCCATTGGTAGGACCGCGAGGCGGGTGTCTACAGTGGTGTCGCCATCGGTAGGACTGCCATGTGAGAATCTAAAACATAATTATAACTTAATGCATGTGTGAGTCTTCCCTTCCCGGGTGCGCCAGAACTCCTCTCACTGCTAGAAACCGTGTACGCCTAGAGTGCATGAGGATGATAAGTTCATGGAGCGGGTACTGCCAATGCAAGGTTATCAAAAAGCTTTGCCGTGACGCGTCTCATGTGTTGGGACGAGGCTCATGTGTTGGGCAGTCGCGGAGTGCGGGTAAAGTGTACATCCACTGCAGTGTGAGTAAACCAAACCTATTCGAATAGCCGTGCTCGCGGTTATTGAGCACCGGGACATGTATTACACTTGGCTAGACTCTAAATTCTTAACTTGTGTGGGATGGGATATTGCATGATGAATTTTATGCTGTTGGAGCCACTTCCTGAGAGGCGGGAAGGTGGACGTCCTCAGAAAACCATGACAAATCAATGGCGGGAAGCTATCCTTGGGATCACAATGGATGGTGGACAGAACCGTCGTTGTTTAAATACAAACTCTGGTACTAAAAATTTGATCAGTCAATGCTAGGTCTTAGGCTTGTGAAAAGAATTACAAAACTTGCTTTGCGCAAAAGAACTATGGCCATCCTTTGAACTCCCCCTTTCATATGCATTGTTGCTGTGGTGGCTTGCTGAGTACGGTTGGTACTCATCCTTGCAAATATAAAATTTATCAGAAGTGGGAGATGAAGCCTCGGAGGATCCCTATGCCTATTATCAGGAAGGAGATGAAGACGATGGCGTCCAGTAGGTTTTAGCACGGTCGTTGCCTGTGGCAATGGCATGCCGCTGCCTGAATTCCGCTGCCTTATCTATTTCTGCTTTTGGATGTATTCCGGACCTCTCGGTCCGATGATTTAAGGCTATGCCTGCGGGCCTATGATGTAATAATTCGTATTAAGCACTCGTGTATGTGCACTTGATATTCCAGCTATGAATTCGTGTGTACCAAACTACTTGATCCAGGGAAATGGTACTGTTTACACGATTGATTCCTGTTATAAAAACGGGGGTCCACAGGAAATTTCCAGCCTAACCCCCAACCCCCATATCATGCCCAAAGGCCAAAACGTATATTTTCAATTTTCCTGCTCCATGTCTGGCATAAATATTTTCCACGACCCCATATGTACGTACTGAAATACGTATACTTTCTCCATTCTAAATTGATCTATATATAATTTTTTTAAGGTTATTCCTAAATAATCTACATATGTGTGTTCATTTATTAAGTCTATTCGTTATCTGTGCATTAGAGTAAATGGACATTGATGCATGCATCCATACACACAAGTATTTATAACCCACATGCAATATCTGGATTTGCTATTGGCTAGAAAATAGTTGGGATGGTGTATGCATTGAGTTTGTTGCTAGAGTAAATATAGTGTGAGAGAGTTATTATCTTTTCTTGGTCTTAGTGTACCTATGAAATATGTAGATCAATTTGGAATGGAGGGAGTATAATTCATTGTCATCGTCGTCTTTTACTGAAATACTCCCTCCTCTGTCCCAAAATAAGTGCAGTCGTAAATATCCGTGTCTAACGTTTGATCGTCCGTCTTATTTAAAAAATTTATGAAAAAATAAAAAAAGTAGTCACACGTAAAGAAATACTTTTCATATTTTATCATCTAATAACAATAAAAACACTAATCATAAAAAAAATTAAATAAGACGAACAGTTAAACTTTGAATATTTTGGGATGAGTATTATCTTCTGTTGTCTTTGTTTTGACTCAAAACGAACAAGTAGGTTACACATATACTTCTTATATTAGTACTCCTGGTCAGAATTGTGACGATGGACATTTTAATGGTTGATTTTTTTGAGGTGTGACTTTTGACCGTATAACTAGCCCATATAAAAAAACGAACCTAAGATTAAATATGATATATTCTAGTACAATTAATCTGAATAAACTTCTGTTTAGATTTATTATACTAGAATATTTCACATCTAGATCTATATTTGTTTTTTTTTGAAGGGATTAGCTAGCTACTTTTTTTCTGTCTTCATCAACTGGATGAATACCGGTCCTTTTTTTCTTTTACTTGGGCAAAATAAATGCTAATCCGATTCATGTTGACGCGTACAACGTTTGAGTTCTGACGACAATATATGCAACATCAACCAATCTCCAAACTTGGTGGATAGGGTAGATTAATTACCCGCCAACTGGCCAAGCAAAAGAATGGATCGATCGATCGATGACAACATGCATGCATGCATGGCTATTGTCGTCTATCGCCGATTGGCACGTTGAAATCTTTTGCCATGCTCTCGATTGGTCATGCTTGAATTGTCTTGCTCTTCCTCCATGGCCATATCTCATCGGGCGATGTATATACTTCACCTCCTTACACATGCATGCATGCAGCCATGCGTAAAAATGTTTAGCAAAACATGCATTGGCTGATACACATGCGCGCGGGATATGAACGTATAAATTAAAAATCACGTACCAAATCCATGTAGTACGATTTAGACAGAAGTTATAGTTGCATGTAATTAAAGTACAATTGAATTTACAGAGAAAGAAGTTGACAGTGACGACGTACCGATAAATTTAATTAGAGAATTGATGAATTGCTAAAAAAATTGCGGCAAGCTTGTTTCTTAATATAAAAAGCTTTCAAATGTAATTACTACTAGTATATTATAGTACAAACGTAAAATATATATCGCGCGAACATATACATACATACAGTTGGAATAAAATATACTCAAGATATATATGATCACTCTTGGAATGAACCCAAATTAAAAGTAGGGACGGTCGGACGGACGTATGGAGTATCAAGCAGACGCAGAGGCAGCGAAACCGGGGTCTTGGTCGGTGGCGGCGGCGACGACGAGGTCGAGGCGTGGTCCGTTGGAGTTGGAAAGGAAGCAGCTGCGGCGGATCTCGCCGACGTTCCCGCCGGGCCTGGGTACCTTGCTGAGCTTGACCATGGACTTGGCAAACTGGTCGAAGAAGGCGGCCTTGTCCTGCGCGAACTGCCTGACGATGGACGCCGTGGTCTGGTTCTTCATGAGCGCCATGTCGGAAGTGAAGACACCCTGGCCGGTGGTGAGCGCGATGTAGTAGGCGTTGTCGAAGGCGTCGGGCGTTATCACGTCAAGCTCCTGCAGCCGGTTGGGGTCCTTGGTGCAGTTCAACTTCAGCTTCTTGGAGAAGGTGTCGTCCTGGCGCCCCGCGCGGTCACGGAAGAAGTCGCAGCGTGCTCTCCCGACGGTGTGGCCGCCGGAGAGCGCCACCAGGTCGGCAGGATCTCCCAGGCCCCTGGTCGCGAAAAGGTCGATGAGAGCCTGGACTCTGGAGGTGCTCGGGCCCGGGAGATCTCCGACGAGATCCACCGATGCCGGAGCGAGGCTGTCTTGCTGGCCGAGTGGCACGGCGTAAGAGGGGCCGCCGGAGACGACGACGGCGTCGCGGGTGGCGAGGGCGGAGATGTCGGCGCAGGAGACAGTGGGACCGCATTCGGCGTGCACCTTGGCGCGGATGTCCTCCACCAGCTGCAGCGCCCGCGGCTGCAGCGTCTCGTTGGGTCCCTGGGGAAACTGCTCCGTGTTGGGGTTGGTGGCATTCAGATATACCGACGCGTCGCACCCCTGTACGTATACATGTCCATTTAGTTACGTACTCCGATCCTATACCTTATATACGTACATACATACAACACAGTACTGTATTAATTAGTACAGTAATAAGGGCGCACGTAGAGTAGCTAGAGGTGACCTGTGGGAAGCAGTCGTGGAAGAAGATGCGGAGGAGACCGGCGGCGAGGGCGATCTCCCGCTGGAGCGCCGCCTGCACGGCGGAGCGCACGATGGTCTCCAGCTGCGGGCACGACGCAGCGTGGAAGTCCACAGACATGTCACGGCGAGATGCAGCTGCTGGTGGTGGCGAGAGGAGGAGGACGACGGTGGAGACAAGCTGCAGGACGGCCACTGCGCGGCCGCTTCTGCTCACTGCACCCATCTTAATTAATTTCTACCTTGTACAATGTTAATTACTCCACTAGCTAGCTCCTCCTAGCTAGCTGCTAATCGATAATAATGCAGTAATATAATTGATCGAATTATTACTAACTGCGCTTGTGCTTGTGCCTTCCTCACGTCTAGAAGTGTTCGTTATTTATAAGCACATATACAGCGACGATAGCGGCAGGGGGGCGGCCTTCAGATTTTTCCATCTCACACTCTAGCTAGCACACATTCATACGTACATCAACGCTGTACAGTTGTACACCAAACGCTGTAGCTAGCTAGCTCCATGCATGCATGCATGCATCACCCAGTCATCGTCGTTGACGGATAAAGGAAGGAAATTAAGAGATCGAATTACTTAAGCCACAAAAAATTTTACTGTCATGCTTTTAGTAGATGGAGGAATATATGGGCTGACGGAGCCAACAGCGAAATCGACCTTATCACATATACATATTCGCATGGTGGATTAAAAGTATTATACTACCTCCATCCCAAAATATAACTATTTCTAACACAGTGTTTTATCCTAAAATGAAGCTATTTATCTACCTATCTTCTTCTCTCAACCAATCACAACCATTCTTTTTCACTTCCTTTCTCTTTTCAACCAATCACACGTACACTTCCTCCAATTACTTTCATCTATTTTCTTAATACTCATGTCAATCTAAAAAAATAAGTACATTTTGAGACGGAGAAAGTAGTTGAGTATCTTATATGATGCAGACTACTACATGGAAATCTTTTAATATCGATCTCAGGCGACCAGGGAAAGATGGCTCATTTTCCTATGTGATAATAAGATACATTAATATATGTGCGATATACCATTTCATAAATACAAGTTAAAAATTAACTTCTACAAACTACAAAAGAAAACAAAATTTTACTATGAGCACACATATACTAGTTTGTTTTTTTCCCCAACTTGCAGAAATCTAATTCGAACTTACTGGAGTGATATATCATGAATTAATTTATTATCTTGTCATTTTTTTTATTCTTCCTGACTCTTTAGGTGACATGCATGGATGAGATGACATATCCTCAATATATTAGAAATCAATCTCTCGCGATATGTCCTCTTATTTTTTCATGTCACTCCACAAACATACAACCACAAACATATATGTTCAACTTCAATGTTCACAAGTTGTAACAAAACTACCAAATTAAACTCCAACTAACATTTGTGTGCTTATAGTTATTTTTCTTTGCAACTTGTATGAGTTAAATTTAAAATTGTATATTTTTAATGTAATATATCACATATTAATCTATTCAATTATTTATAAATTATTTTTTATAACAATTTAGATAACCTACAAGTTACATATATTCTCGAGTGTTTAAAAGACTTTTCCGTCTTACATGATTTTTTTTCCATGATTGGTTGCCTTTTCCCTTCAGCTTTTATACTTTTCCTGCAACTGAAGTCTGAAGAGCAAGTGGGGTAGCGGGTGGCGGTGGAGGTGGACACGCCTTCACACTGTACTACTACTGTAGAGGACAGGAGGAGTACACCAACACGGACGACGCGCTGTCCGAACATAATAATTTCTAGGAGATCGCATAAGTATATAAAAAAATAAAAACAACTATTTGTCTTATCGGAATAAGAGAGGTGTAGGCCTGGATTATAATACAGAGATAGTAGGATAATTAGGAGCAAAAAATATCATTATAAGTGTTAAGTTGTTATATTTAGTATAAATTTTAAACTCTCAATACTACCTACGTCCTAAAACTTAATTTCTCTGTCCTATAATAAACAAACCAGTAATTAAAGTGATACTATCCAGATTCGTAGTATGAGAATGTGTCATATAATATTTCATCCGTATTAAAATATAATTATTTCTAGCATAGTAGCTTTTTTAAAAATGACTATTTTTCCACCTACCCCTCATCTTAACCAATTATAACTATTCTCCATTTAATTTCATCACTTACTTTATTTTCTTAACTAATCATAATATTTCTTATTATTTTCATTAACTTTGTTAATACTAATTAATATATATCTTCAAAATATGTACATTTTGAGACTACCTTCAAAATCTATTTATTTTGAGACATAGGTAGCACTAGCACTGTATCTTTTTCACAATGTACGACGATGTTAGCTTTTCGCATAATGTTTGATCATTCATCTTATTTAAAATTTAGTATAAATATGTAACAGTATGAGTGAAGACTATATTTTATTTGATGATAAAACAAGTCATTACAAAATAAATAATATTTATATAAATTTATGTGAAAAGTCAACTAACTGTGTTTTTGAAATGATAGAGTATATTTTAAACGAGGGAGTATCTGAGAACGGATCATATAAGAAGATAAGAAGCTGGCCACAAGACCGGACCTGGCCAAACTGAAAATTTGGCATTAGCAGGGTTTTTATTCTCCATGAAAATTTCCTACCTAACCCCGGCCACCGGCTCGTCCTGATGCATGCATCCACTGGATCGGAGTGATCCCCGAATTAAGGTCCACATGCATGCATGCTGTAGCTACGATCGACCTACGAGGCACATTTTCCTGCTCTATTTTTTGGTGCGAACCGAAATATGCAATTAACTGTCGGTAGTATATATATTCCTAGTATCTTTTATTTCCTTCTCAAACAAACTAACAAGATTAGTGTTACACATATAAGCCATCCTAGGAGGGTATAAATTAAGGAATAAGAAGAATAACTTAACCAGTAGTATATATGGCCGAAGCTTCTATCAGCTATAGGGCTTGTTTGGAGAGCTTAAGATTTTAAGAAACAGCTGGTTGGTAGCTAGCTTCTGAGAATATGTAAAAGCTGGGTTCCCAACTTCTGGCTTCTAGTTCATTTTTCTGGATTCTACAACTATAGCTTCTCAGAATATGGACCAAAAGCTAGACTGTTTGGGGAGCTTCTGATTCTGGAAGAAGCTGCAACAACTATAGATATATACTCCCCCAAACTGGGCTGTACTTTGTTTAGAATTTTTAGCTTACCAAACAATTTAGATCTCACCAGGATTTAAAATCTGTAATTATAAGATAAGATAAAATAGAAAAATTAAGTAACATAGCTAATACATCAGTTAGCTACTAACATATAAAAATCTCGAGCTTTCCTAGCAATAGTTGCTTCTTCCATCCTAAAATATAAGATATTTTTTATTTGATGTGACACATCTTAATACTAAAAATCTATACGTATTTTAATATTACAAATGTAGAAGTAATTTATATTTTTGAATTACAGAGTGAATATGCCATAGTGGTAGTACGATGCATATGGTACATCTATATAAGCAACAGCGACAACTCATGAGGGATATGAGCTAGTAGTACTTGATTTTTTGGGTCGGTCGAAATGTTAGAAGCTAGTAAGAGGCGCAATGTAGCTTGTAGCTATCAGGGGGGCCCGGCCGCAAAACTGGAAATTAGTTAACAGGCCGGTGTCGCCATGTGTATTATCTGCTCCGGCCACCACTTGCTTTGAGCCGACAAGCCTAGCCACATCTCTCCATCGATCCACCATGCATATGCATCCAGCCATTAACAGATAACTGTTGCTATGCCTATGCTAATCCATCTCTCTCTCATATAGTATATGCTAAAACCATTTTGATTGTGGCCGTATTAATTAAATTAGTGTACGCATGTCTCTATCGTTCAATGTTGACATAATGATGAAATTCTTGCGAAGCAAAAATTAATTGTTACGGAGCTCAGTAAAACTTTAATTAATTATATAACTTTGTGAGTGTGCTAGTACGGTGAGAAGATCGCAAGAAAGCACCTATATATGGTCGTCACTTGACTAGTGGGCGGCTGCCCCCACCATGCTAGGATCTGGAGTAGCTACCGCGAAGCACCGGCCATGAGCCCTAGTCACGACGCCACGGCCAACGGCCCACGCTATACTTCCGTGGTCTCAACAGATCGGAAGAAGGCTCTACATTTGCTATGCTCAATTTTGCAATGTTTTTGTGACATTAATTTCAATAGTTGAAAATACTACCTCATCATGTACTGGAAGTGAAATGTTTCGATTTGATTTGATTGTGTTTCACTATTTTAAGTTTTGGTTGTTATTACTTTCTTCAATTTTTCAATCATTGGAACGTAACCCAATTATTTCATACGTGGAAGGAAATTATACGTTTCAATTTAAATTTGACAATGTTTTATTTCCTTTATTTTATTTCTAAATATTGCATTCCACTTGTCTTGGTGTTTGGTATATCACGCTGGTTCTCTTTTATTACAGCTATTATATTCTAAATGTTTTATTGTCTGAAAATTTTGTTTCACAATGTATAAGTTTGTTTTTTCAGTAACTATTAACTGATGAAGCAGTTTTAACGATTTCTTTTATCATATCAAACGGACTATCTCTAGTCGAGTCCTTTATAATTTATACGGACTAACAATATTTCTCAAGATGGGAGGTAAGAAAATTCTCACTCTGCTTTTCAATATATGAATCTGCTAAGTTTTGTTATAAAATTTAACCATTCGTCTTTGTTGAATAGTTCCACATTGACTGTGAAATGGCAAATGACCTAAGATATAAGTGGGGAAACCCCTCACCTCAATGGCTAGCTTTTGGGGTGGGAAAGGCTATTTACGATCCTACATGTGGTATCAGAGCCTGGCTAGTTTAACATCTCTAGCCCGATAGACATAGTGTGTGAAGGCCTGATGGACCGTGAGTGTCTGCGGGGCCCGTATACCTGATGGACCGTGGGCCTATCCTGTGGGGCCCGTATACGGTGAAAGGCTGAGGGACACCAATGTGTGAAGGGACAGATTGTTGAATAGTCCCACATTAGTTATGGAAGGACAAAGGACCTAAGATATAAGTGGGGGAGCCCCTCACCTCAACGACTAGCTTTTAGGGTAGGAAATGCCCTTTACGATCCTACAATTTTATTCATTTTTTTTCAAATTGTAATAATATAAGTAAAGTTTCTTTAGTGATAAATCAAGCCCTAACAAAAGAGAATATATTTCATTAATTTTTTTAACTAAAACAATGATTAAACATTATGTAAAAAGTTAACATCGCTATATATTAGAAAACGGAGGTAGTACGAGATTGAAATTATGAGGTAGTACCGCTAGCAAAGAAAAACAATCTTATTATTGGCTTTCATAGTGCATTGACGTGGCATTCAGCCCGAGCCAAATAGGTTGGAGATTCCACCACACGTCGAACTATTTTGTTGCTCTGAAGAACGCGGAGCCAAATGTTACCACAGGTACCTCGTCAAAATCTGCATCTTTGGATCCCACATTTCATGCCCCGCACCATAAGGAAGGGAGAGAGAGGACCGAGGAGAGGCACTTTGTCGCCATCCCCGCGCTCCACGCTGCCGAGCATATTGGACAGTGGAGGAGGGCGATGAGGTGAGGAGCGCTTCAGACCGCACCGGCGACACAACGCCGTGGCCACAGACGAAGGAGGGGTGAAAAAGGTGGGGAGAGGGGATAAACGTTGCCGTTGTTCTTGTCCTCTTCATCCCCTGATATAGTTGTGCCGGCGTCGCGTCAAGAGGAGAGAAGGTGAGGTGGCGCCGACGTCGAGCTGTTGCCTTCGTCGCTTGGGACGCCCTCGTCACCTCCAGATCCACACCCGTGCCGCCGACCTCGCCGATGCTTTGGGGGAGGAGAGGAAGGGTGGTACACCGGTGGATCTAGCCGCCGCTCCGCCTAGTGTCGTCGCCGCATGGGCCCGACGGCTCGGCTCCCTCCACCCGGCGCCACTACTTCTTGAGCTGCTGCTGCCGCTCCGCCTGACTCCGTCTCCGCTCGATACCTTAGCTTCCTCCGCCAAGCGCCGTCACCTCGGTTTCCTTCACCCGGCGCCTCGTCTTCCTCCGGCGGTGGGAAAGGCAGAGAGGATATAGGGGGAGATGAAAAGTGGGAGTGGATCTACAAGTGAGATCCACAATAAATAACTTGCACTACTGTGAAGCATATATCCTTTGAGGAGCTTGGTCCAGGTGGCAACGGAAGCGCAGCAAATGCGGTGGTCGCACTGCTATCTCCCTTATGGTAGGGACACAACGAATTAAGCGAACAAAAGCCAAGGGCCAAGGCCTGCACTCGTGCAGGCCAACGAGACCAGGATCAGCTAGCGTATATACGTCAACCACCTCCCTAATTAATCAACAACGGATGGAGGGCCGCTCCGTGGACATGTCGTCGTACAGCCGGAGCCAACGATCTCGATCGATCCACCCATATCAAGGAGAAGCGGCCTCATCGCCGGTGGCCAAGTCGACGAGGCGTGGTCCGTTGGTCCTGAAGCAGCTGCGGCGGATCTCGCCGACGTTCCTGTCAGTCCTCGGAACCTGGCTGAGCTTGACCATGGACTTGGCGAACTGCCTGAAGAATGCGGCCTTGTCCGCGGCGAACTGCCTGACGATTGGCGCCGTGATCCGGTCCTTGATGAGCGCCATATCGGAGGTGAACACCCCCTGCTTCCTGGTGAGCGCGACGTAGTAGGCGTTGTCGAAGGCGTCGGGCGTGACGACGTCCAGATTCTGCAGCCGGTTGGGGTCCTTGGTGCAGTTCACGGCCAGCTTCTTGGAGAAGGTGTCGTCCTGGCGGGCGGCGCGGTCACGGAAGAAGTCGCAGTGCGCCCTCCCGACGGTGTGGGCGCCGGAAAGCGCCACCAGGTCGGCGGCCTCTCTGAGGCCCTTGCTTCCGAATTTGTCGAGGAGAGCCTGGACGCTGGAGGTGCCCGGGCCCGGGAGTTGGTTGACGAGGCGCACCGGGGCCGGGGCGAGGCTGTCTTTTTGGCCGAGAGACACTGCGTACGAGGGTCCCCCGGAGACGACGACGGCGTCACGGGTGGCGAGCGCGGAGATGTCGGCGCAGGAGACGGTGGGGCCGCATGCTGCATGCACCTTGGCGCGGATGTCGTCGACGAGCTGCAGCGCCCGCGGCTGCAGCGTCAGGTTTGGGCCCATGCCCTGCTCTGAGTTGCTGCCTCCCCTCAGATACACCGATGCATCGCACCCCTGCACATGCATATGCAGCATGTTCAGTTGAGTACAACATTATTGTTCGTACGTACGTGCGAATATAGGAGTATGTTCTTGCGTGCGTGCCTGCGGGAGGCAGTCGTGGAAGAAGATGCGGAGGAGGCCGGCGGCGAGGGCGATCTCTTGCTGCAGCGCGGCTTGCACTGAGGAGCGCACGATGGCCTCCAGCGGCGGGCACGACGCCGCGTGGAAGTCCACAGACAACTCGGCTGCTGCTGCTGTTGGTGAGGAGATAAGGAGGACGGCGACGAAGGAGACCAGCTCCAGGACGGGCAGTCTCCTCGCTGCAGCCATCTTAATTTGGCTCTCTGCTCTCACTCTTGATAAATATTTTTTTTTCAAGTTTATACTACTTTATTTGGGCAACTATTTGTGGCTTTTATAAGTTGTCGACTTGTCGCTCTTTAAATTTCGTTCTTACGGTTCTTTTTCCATTTTCTTCCCACCAGAATAAAAGCTTCCCTGATTTCTTTCCACTTTCGTCTATGTGATGTGATAGGCCAGACTACTGATGTGAAATATCCATTTTACACATGCCCCCTTCTCTTAATTTCCCTCCTCTCTTTATCCACCATGTTTTAGATTTCGATCACTTGTGACAATGACTTAACTCCGGGGAATCATGGAAAGCGTCGCCGCCATCTTATCTACTAGCTAGACATGCACAGGTCAGGGGCGACGAGATGCACCGGCCAACCACCCCCCCTTCCCCCATATTCCCTCTACCTTCATCATGCCTGCCTCATTGACTATATGTGCCTCTGCCTCTACCTCTGCTCCCCTACACCAGCATCAACAGTCCCTACTTCTACACTCACCCTTCACCGCAAACACTCTCGTTCTTTTTAGCCCTCGCTTCCCTGCTAAGCTCGTGTCAACTTTGAGCTCACTGACGCCATCACCGCCGAGTGTGTGGCAGTGGCGGCCAAGTCATCGTGGAAGGGCATCGAGCGGCAGTTGCAGCGAATGTCGAAGTACATCAAATTGTTTTCGGTGATGACTTGCCTAGCATCGCTAGCTCATTGAACCCAAGCGTATATCTCCTCCGGTGCCACCTCGTTGAGCCCATATCAGAGCTCGGTGCTCGATGGATGAGGGAGGAGACAGAGGAAGAAGAGATAAGATGTAGCGCCCGTTCCGTCGTGGCGCCTAGCGGGAAAATTATCTCTTAAAAACCCTAATTGCGAAATTTGTTTCTTTGCTTGTTGTCTAGTGTCCGTGCCATCTCAAGATCTCAATCCGCGATCGATCGTCGAGATCAATTCCGAATCCAATTTGTCGGTGACATGGGACCGGGAGTATCATGACTTAGAGACTTGAGGCAGACACGATCACCCACGTGGCCTAACCCCCTCGGGGGGGTCGGGCCCGAGGGTGATACGGCCGCCCTTCTCTTTGTCTCCCCGAGGGGTCGGACCGCTCCCGTCTCGGCCCCGAGGGCTGGGGCGCCCCGACCCCTTGTGGATTTTGCGCCGCGTGTATGGGTTAGGTGAGCGCAGCGGCGCTCACCTAACCGCATTTATTGCGGTTTGGACGAGCGCGTCACGCCGCATGTAACGCAGTGCAGCGCGCTCGTTTATCCGGTCTGTGACCGGTCATATACCGGTCAGATCGTGGGTTAGGTGGCGACAGGCGGTCTGACGCACGCCTCGCCCCATCCCGTCAGGACGAGAGCCTCCAAGCACTCGTCCCTAGCCGGAACCGGCGTGTTAGCTCCTGGAGATGGCACGTTGGTTCCGGTCAGATATATGCCAGGCTTCATCCTAACCATTACAGGCAAGATGTTGTATGAAGAAGGGCGAACATGCAGATTGTTAAACTGACACGTGGTGGACAAGAATGACCGATTTGTGACCGGTCAGACAATGGTCATGTCGTCAGCAGACAGCCATGTTCCCACGTCGCGCCTGCTTCCGGCGGAAGTGGAGGTAGGTATGGGCCGTCCCATCAGAAGGTCATTCGGACGGCAGCCATACAAATCTCCGTCCATTAATGAAGAGAAGTCAAGTAAGAAAGAGAGGGAGAGATGGTGCATGTGGTATCCCCTTGAGATATAAAAGGAGGACCTTGCCCACTTAGAAGAAAAAACGATCCCAGAACGATCGGGGGCTGGCTCGCACTTTGTAGCTTCTTCATACACAGACCACCAAAACACAGGAGTAGGGTATTACGCTTCTCAGCGGCCCGAACCTGTATACATCGCCCGTGTCTTGTGTGTTTCCACTCTCGCGAACTTTCCACAGACCAAGAGCTTAGAACCTCACCCAGAGCCCCCGGCCGAACCGGCTAAAGGGGGCCTGCGCGGTCTCCCGGTGAGGAGCCCCACGCTCCGTCATCTGGCGCGCCAGGTAGGGGGCTCTGCGAGTGATCTTCTGAGCTCTCGCACTCTTTCGTGTGCGCCAAGCTTTTCCTGTTCAGCCCAATGGCCGAACAAGCAAAGGCGCACAACCTCTCTCCGAGTGTTAGCGGTGACGACGGGGAGCCAAACCCACGCCGTCGAGCTCGTACTCCACCGCCCCCTCCACGCCAAAGTCCTAGGCGGGAGGAGGTGCTCGAGAGGGTCGAAGGATCCACGACTTCGACATCCACGGGTGATGGGGAAGGGCGGCGAGATGGGGAGCGTCGCCTCCTCGTCTACGGCGACGGTAGCACGCCCCAGGGCGCGCTCCAAGCTGCGGGCGCGCTCCTACGTCACCCGCCCATTGTCCCTGACCCGGAGTCTCCAGCCCAACGTTGGCTGGACGACGTGGCCAACTTGGTCATGACGGCACGGCAGCGCCTAGGTGCTGGTGGGCGGTCCTCCGCCACCAAGACCTCTGGCGCTGCTACCACCGGCTCCGTATCGTCAAGGCGGAGGGCGCGGCGAGCGGCGGCTGTTGCTCGCCATTCGGCCGCCACTCCTTCGTCAGCGCCTCCGACCCAGGAAGATCTGCGTGGGGGGCCGGATGCCCGCATCGATATCGAGCGCCGGTGTAATGGCCGACGTGCTGCCCACGCAACGGAGGGCGCCTCCTCGTCCGGAGTGTCACATCAACACGGACGCGGGGATCAGCCCTCCGTGCCCCCGGTTGGTGGTGTCGGCTGTAGAGCCTTTGTGGCGAGCCTTCGGAACGTCCGTTGGCCCCCAAGGTTCCGGCCCACCATCGCCGAAAAATATGACGGGAGCGTCAACCCCGCCGAGTTCCTCCAGGTCTACACGACCGGGATCGAGGCCGCCGGGGGTGACGACAGGGTCATGGCGAATTTCTTTCCCATGGCCCTGAAGGGACAGGCGCGGGGTTGGCTAATGAACTTGCCACCCGTGTCCGTCCACTCTTGGGAGGATTTGTGCCAACAGTTCACCATGAACTTTCAAGGCACATATCCGCGCCCAGGTGTAGAAGCGGACTTACATGCAGTCCAGCGATGGGATGATGAGTCACTTCGCTTATACATTCAGCGGTTCTGTCAAGTCCGCAACACCATACCATGCATCCCTGCACACGCGGTGATCTACGCGTTCAGGGGGGGTGTGCGGCACAACCGCATGCTCGAAAAGATCGCCTCCAAAGAGCCCCAGACTACCGCGGAGCTTTTTCAGCTCGCGGACCGAGTGGCTCGCAAGGAGGAGGCCTGGACTTGGAACCCCTCCGGTTCCGGTGTGGCAGCTTCGGCCGCCCTCGGGTCCGCCGCTCGGTCAGGGCGGCGGGACAGGAGGAGGAAGAAGAGGTCGGCCCATTCCGACGACGAGGGTCATGTCCTCGCCTTCGAAGGCGTTTCGCTGGCCACCCGAAAGGGGAGGCCTGCGAGCGACCAAAAGAAGGAAGCCGACGCTCCCTGACCTCGGCTACTTGGAAGAACGAAGGTGGCGCGCGGCCCTTCGAGCCGCGCGCTACCAGCAGAGCCTGCGGCGCTACCATCAGCGCCACGTCCGGGCCCGATCACTCTGCGTCGACGACCTCGTCCTACGCCGTGTCCAAACACGTGCTGGACTGAGCAAACTCTCACCAATGTGGGAGGGTCCGTATCGAGTGATCGGCGTCCCCCGGCCGGGCTCCGTTCGGCTGGCCACGGGCGACGGCACAGAGCTGCCTAACCCGTGGAACATCGAACACCTTCGTCGCTTCTACCCCTAGTGGGGGTCGGGTGTCAGGTCTTGGGCTCGGGCTAACCCCGCACCCCCCCGGGCGTGCAGGGTTGGCCGGGGGCTTATCTTTTTTCTCTTCCGTATTTCAATAAAAGCATTTTCGATTTCCTAAAGGCTGTGTCTGTGCTTTTGTTTCCTTTTGAAGAATCTTGACTTGAAATAGGTTACTCGTGTTCAATCCTGCCCTCGGGGGCTCGGGTCGGCTAAAATCACCAAACGGGGCCCAGAACCGAGCCGTGCCCCGGGGCGTGGTGAACTCCGGGGGGGAATCGGCAAAAACCCACAATCGGGTCACCCATAACCCTCGGTCACCACGCTCCCGGCCTGGCCAGTCTCGACATGTGGATCTCCCCAGGCACTAGCCCCGACCCGAGCCATTTGAGGACTAGGACCTGGGCACGAGCCCTTGTTCAAGCCAAGACACAGAAGGACCGTGGCACAGACCATCCTCGTCTCATACACAGAACAAATGAAATTGACACAAAAATTTCCTCTTTATTTGATTGCAGATTAAATCAGCCTATAACAAGAAGGGGGCCCGAAGGCCTCGGAAGAAGAAGGAAAAGCTATTAAGATTGGCGGAGGCCTGGGGGCTCACTCCGACGCGCCCGGGTAGCCGGCCTCGCCGTCGCTGTCGTCCGCACCGTCGTCACCACACTCCTCGTCGGAGTTGAAGGCAAACGCGAGCCGAGAGGCCGCTCGTTATTGTCGGTCGGTTTTCCCTTGCTGATGCGCGCGATTTGCGACCGCCGGGATTCTGCCCGAAGAGAGAGAGAGTAGGGAGGAGAGGCCCCCGAGCCGAACGGCGGCCCAAGGCCCCCGACGGCCGGAGCTGGCCCTCCGCCTGCTTGTCCGACGGTGCCAGGCGCCCCCGACCCCTAGGATGGCCCCGAGGCCACTGCGGGAAGACCGCGCCTGTCGCCCTCTGACCCCGAGGTCGTCGGCACAGAAGCCGAGTGCGCCCCGCGTGGCCTCTCGGATGGAGAGCGCCCTGGAGATGTGGCCCCTGACGAAGAAGATCGGCCCCGCCGAAAGGTGCAGCGGCCCGTCTACTTCGTTAGCGAGGCCCTCCGGGACGCTGAGACCCGATACCTTCAGGCCCAGAAGATGCTTTACGCTATCCTGATAACTTCGAGGAAGTTGCGCCATTATTTCCAGGCGCATCGGGTCATGGTGGTTACGTCTTATCCCCTCGGCCAAATCTTGTATAACCGAGAGGGTACTGGACGGGTGGTGAAATGGGCAATCGAACTCTCTGAATTCGATTTGCGCTTTGAACCAAGCCACGCGATCAGGAGCCAAGCCCTCGCCGACTTTGTGGTGGAGTGGACCCCAGCTCCCGAGCTCGTCTCCGCCCCCGAGGCCAGCTCGAGCCCATCGCAGCTGC